CCTGCCGTGGTATAAGAAGGAGAAACACTAGTGGATTACTTTAAGCCACAAGTGTCCCCAAATCCGTCAGATCCAGAAAAAATCTGGAGGATGGAAGGAAAGGGAGTAAAAAGGGAGAAGATGAGGATAATAACAACAGGATAGGTTTAGGATTAAGGAGAGGAGGAAACAGTGCTGCAGAAATTCTAGTGGGAGGAGACAGAGAAGAAAACATTACTCACCTAACTGTAGCCGGTGGGTCTTGTCAGCAAAGATGATGCGGAACCATCCCGGTTCACTGCATTCAAAGGCTTTTCCGCAGGACAGGAGGACCTTGTTATCCAGAAAACGCCTCCAGAGCAGCATCTCCTCCTCAAAGGTGCCTGTCCTAAGGTACTAGGAGAGTCAGCAGAAGGGCCAGAGGTTAGTAACATACAGGCTAACTCACCGAGATCCTCATGAATTTGTGATTCCCATGAGGTCTGCAAAGGCCAAGGGAGACACCTTTTACCTCTGAAGTACAGCAGTTGTGATATAAAGGAAGAAATGGGGAGGAAAGTGGCTTGAGAGCAGTAAGATTCCTGCAAGGAGGGAAATGCACAGACAGACGAAAGGAAAAGAACGGACAGAAATACCAGACAGCCCTTCCCTCTGCTCATCAGACAACAGATGGGACTTCAACAAAATGCTTATCACAATATTAAACTTTCCTCTAGACGCAGCTGCACCACGCGTCTGCCCTCGTCCCAGGAGAAGCCTCCCTTCCCAAGACTACCAACCTTTCGAAAATCAATCCAGACGAAGAAGCCTGCATTGCGGTTGAGAAAAGGAACCCCAAGAGTCTTCAGTTCATCTGTCACATACGTATGGGCAGCTTTTAGCCGGGCATGGTTGGCCCTCAGGTATACCTGGTTGATCCAATCTGACCAGAAGGAGAAGACAAAGAAAAAAAAAAAAAAATCACAATTTGCAAAGAATTCAGATCTGTTCAATTTTCCAAAATACTCACAATGCCTTTTTCCATTTCACCCTTTGCCTCCTATTTTGGTTTTCTGTTTCCTTAAAGAGCAAAAAGGGGGGCAAGAACTATTTAGTGGTTTCACATCTGTGCAGAATAATATTTTTCCCTTTCTGAGGAAGCTTCCCTACATTCATAGCTCCTAATTGTTGTGGACTGTTAGCACTCCATCCAGGGCAAAGCTAGAAGTCCAGCTGGTTCCACGCCACACTGGCTATTTCTATACAAATAGCTATCACACTTCTTCAAAGCTGCTCCTCTAACTCTGCCCATCAGGAGCTCTGCAGAAACGTTCTTCTTTTTTTTAGAATTGTCCGCCATGTGTTACATGTGAAGCTTCAGGATTATGGAAGACTGTCAATTAAGCTGTACAAACATTTGGGAAAGTAAGAGGAGGGGATCCCTCAGATACCGAGATACAGAGAACAGCAGAGGATCATATACGAAGCTGCCGACTCACCTCTGTCTCTAAGCAGCTGTGCAACCTTGTGCTGGACGGGTCCACAGACCCCGTGGAAATAACACAAAGAAGCCACTGCATTAGCAACATCCTGGTTCTCTGTATACAAAGTACCAAAACGAATCCCAGAAACAGCAAAATCCTGCAGGAGACAGAGAGACTACATTATTGCACAGGAAGACCAGGATCCTATTACTTCTGCCTTGTTCCTTCCAGCATGAGGAACCTGAGGAACCTGAGGACACGAGGCCAACCGCACCAGCCAGGCAGCTGCGGCACGGTGGCAACCAGCACTCACCTTGCTTATTCCCCACATCACGTGAGTCCGCTGTGGATCAGGCAATCTGTATGTAGAAGGATGCAGATGGGCAGTTAGTGTCATGGGTGCTGTAGCTTTTGGATCACCAGTGCAGCATTACAGAAACAGAGAGGCAGCATTATGCAATGACAGACAATGCAGCATGGAACATCAGCCAAGCAGGGAAAATTAAAATCTGACCTAACTTTAGAAGCTAGAAACTCCCTGGAACTAGTTTTAGACACAGTATTTCAGACATACAGATACTTGCAAGCGGTATATTGCACATAGGAAGCTTGTACATATCATGCTAGAAATCAGGCCTGTGCCAATGTATTTGCCAAGAATTAAATGCAATTTTCTTTCTTTAAAACCCCAACATTTTACAGAAAGAGATAAAGTTCTTCTTTTGCAATGCTGCACATCCAAGCCCAGCAACACTGAGCTAACACTTAACCAAGTGTATTTTATTTCCTTGCAATTGTACACAAAAATAGCACCACTGCTGAAAACAAGAAATTAGAAAAAGAAATTAAAAAAATCCACACTATATTTTTAAAAGGTGAGATTTGCGAAATTTTCTGTCTCATTAAATTGATATCTAATGAAACCCACTGCGAACAGTGACTACTATATGAAAAAAAAGAAAGTAAACAGCAACAGAAAGTCTCTACAGGCATCAGTAGAAACGTGGGAAAGAGGTAACAATGTTTAGGTAGGAAGAAAACCCACACTCTCAACAAACGAAACATCTGTTTCCAGTTTTGGGGACTGTCACAAGCAAATACCGAAGCACACATTGAAAAGTGTACCACAACAGAAAACTAACTACCATTTTTCACTTGCTAGATTGCACTTGATAAAATGCATTTGCTATTCAGAAATTACTACAAAAAAAAGCAATCAGTGTAAGGCAGATTCAGAATTTGCTAGCTCATGACTTAACTTCCAGTCACAAGTTCTCAGCAAGGCATCATGTTGAACTGTCACTGGAAGATGGCCAGGGAAGTAGGAGCTGATTTTACCTGTCCATGCCTAGGACACTGTGAAACGTGGCTGATTCATCAAAAACTGACAGCATGTAGATCTCATCTACTATCACATGCAATTCATGTCTGCAAAAGGACAAAATGGAGATTACAAAAGAAGTCTGTTTCTGGTTTAGAGGCAGAGATAAATTCTGGACTGCAAAGACTTGCTTTATACAAAGAAGAGGGACACCAAGTTTTGCAGAACAGAAGCATTTCTTTCACAATTCATATCATTATGTGTACATTGAAGTGATTTGAGATATATCCACCTAACTGTCACCCACTGCAACCACACAATGAGATAAAAACTCAGTCATTTTCAATGCCCTAGTGAAAATTAACTCTTGTAGTTACTACTGGGTTAGAAGTTGTATGATCATCCACTCAGAAATGACAAAATTTCAGAGAGTATCCGTGATCCATGATGAAGCTAGAAACCCATGCTCATATCTTTCTTTTTCTCTGCACATACAAACAAACTGAGAGGAAAGGAACTCAGTTTCCTACCAAAGAAGTACAGCACGATGGTGTTTGCTAGGACTACCAACAAATAAAACTTGCATTCCTTGATGCAAGTTGCTTTGCCACTCCAGATGGCTGCAGGGTCCACTCTCCCTTGTCCCCACCATTCCCCTCTCTTCTCTTAAGTCCACCACTGTGTGTGAAGAACAGACTGTTTGCCTGACTTAGAAGATATTCACAGATAAAATCAGGGACAGCAAGTAGTCCACCGGATTCTGGAAACCGTATCCGACTCAGGATGCCTCAGCCTTCCAAACTGACATACCTTTTAGCAAATTCCAGGTAATCCCGTAGCTCTGACAAGGAGTAGATGTCTCCAAGAGGATTCTGGGGATTCAGAAGAATTAAGGCCCTTACAGCGACACCCTGCCGAACATGAATAATGCAGTATTAAGACAGCAGACATCATGGGATAAATTTTCAGTCCCTCCACTTGAGCAGTGAGTGTGATGCAAGATTCCCCTGAAGTTTCTACCTTAACTTTTCAACTCAAAGGTTAGATTTGTATAAGAAAACTTTTAGCCACAAATTAAGAATTTTTTTTTTTTACGATTTTATCACTTGCAAAGTGAACTGAGGAAAAGATCATAGAATGAATCAATGATTTTGAAAAGACCGAGTCTGCCACAACCGTTGCCATCTGGTCAACCAATTAATGAGAAAGATGCTCTCACACATTCTCAGCACGAAAGATCACTTTCTCTTGAGTTGTATCAGTAGTTGAGAAGTTACAAATTACTGAAGATTGCCCATGAATGTGGCAAGAAAGATATGAATCTGAGCTATAGGGATGCAAACTGTTCTTATTTAGAGCACACGTGGCTGGAGATGTCAGAGCTGGCAATGATCTAAAGATGCAGCTAAACATATATTGGGCTTAGGACACTGTCATAACTCACAGACTAACTCTTCAGAAGGGTGCTAGTCATCTGCATTTATCCTCTAGATTTGCACCTCTCTTCCTCCTGCAAAAACTCTCAGCGGTCTTACTCGATTCATCTGCACTACTGCGTAGAGCAGTCAGTTATGGGCTAACTCAGGTGGCCTTCCTGAAGGAGAAACCCTGTGTAGTCCCTACTCTTTAGTGCATGCCCAAATTTTTTTTTTTTTTATTTTCAATATGAAGGGGTTCCAGTGCTTTGTGAATGGTCTGGTACTACTGGTTTAACCTTTCTGTTGTGACCAAACTTGGACAGACATGACACCAAGGGATTCCCCCTAAGATTGCCCCTGAGTTTGCACACAGTCTGATCTCAGGTGGTTTACAAGGACAATCGGAAAGCCAGGTGCTAGGTTCTGAAAATGTTTTTGATCTTTAGGGCACTTCTGGGACCTGCCATCTCAAACATATTGTAGACTTCACTGGTAATATGAAGGCCAGCTACACTCACCTCTGCCCTGGCATCCTGCAAGGCCTTTTCCAGTTTTTCCACTGTAAGCTGAAAAGGCCGAGTGCTTGTTCCAGTAATCTGAAAGACACCACAAAGATAAAAAAGGCCATGTTATTTCAATAGAGTCTGCCTTGAGCCAATCTCCTGAGTAATGTTCCCCCCCCCCAAAAAAAAATCCAGCAATAATGACCTAGCATCCATCTTCTTATCCTTTTACACTACAGAGAGAATAAATACATAAATAAAATCAAAGAAGTGTTCATCATAGGCTGGCCACACACACAGAATTCTCTGGTTACCCTTGAATAACTAAAACAGTGCAAGATCTCCATCTGCTCTTCCACCCCGGGACCATCTTTAGTAGGACAGTACATACTTCTGTCCCCAAGGCTCAAAATGGCCATTTTTTTCCCCTCAAGAGCAGTTATTGGGAGTATGATACAAGAAAAGGACAGGACTGGAATCCAGATTTACGGTCTTGAACTACTTTCTTGCAAATTATGTGCCCAGTTTCCCAGCAATAAATTGGGAAGATGCCCATGGGCTTGCAGCCTACCCTTGTTCTGAGGACTACTTTCAGAGGTTCCCAAAGCTTGGCACTTTCCAGTATCGATTATTTTTTAACCACAGAAGTTGGTAATCCCTTCCCTCAGACTCACCTTACTGTCTAAATAGGCATACACCAGCTTGACATTACCATAGAGGAAGACACTCTGGGTGATATCACCGTAAAAGGGAGTAGCAATAAGAACAGCTTCTGGAACCAAGAAAACAAAATTGGTTATCAACAGGTCTCAGTCCTTCGCTCTCTTCTAATATACTTCAGCTAAACATGACAGCTTTTTTTACAGCTGTGTCCTCTGGAAACACTGTAATGTTACTGCCTTTTCCTCCACTTTATTTTTACATTAATTCTTTAATCTTCTGGAATAACCCAGGTAAACATGAGTATAGCCCACATGTAGCCTAGCAAATTAAAACAGGGCACCAGGAAAACAGTGAAGGCAGACAGGGTAAGACACCAAGTGTGAGTGCCTGACATCTGCAGACCATGGAGATGATGAATTTCACAGCAGAATCTTGCAGGAAACAAGAACTTTGCAGTAGGCCAATGCCAATTCCACTACTTCACTTCCACCAAACAATATTTAAACAGAGTTAATACATTATTTCCCAACAAAAATAAACATTAAAAATACCTCCTAACCATCCACTTACCCCCTGGATCACACAGCACTGTAGCTAATGCAGAAAATAATGAGCCGCAACCATTTAAAACAATCACCTACAGAAGAAAGAGAGAAGCTAGTGATAAATCTGTCCATAGAAAGACAACACTATAAAATAATAATTCCTGACCACATCACCAAAATATATTTTCTCCCCAACTCTCTAACATGGATGTTCCCAGAATTTTCTTGCTGAAATCCCACTTCTACCAGAAATAATGTTAATTCTGTTCTTTGCTTCAGAGACACTTTCTCCTGATGTTGTTCTTGATTTTAATAAGCAACTTAAAAAAAGAGTAGGCTTTAAGTAGGGAAAAAACTGGGGAGCAGTTCTGAACTGCTAGAAGAGCAAACTACCTTTCATCAGCTAATACGTGTTACCGTCTCCTTGTGGTAACAGCAGCTCTGACCTCCTGCCCAATTTGTGCAAAGTGGAAACCACTGTATTGTACAGGAGCAGGTTTGACTCCTGCTTCTAGAAGACAGATGCTCACAGGTCCCACGAGCTTCACTCCAAGTGCCAGGCAGAATCTGCTGCCTTGGAGAAGCAGTCATCAGCAGTAACTTTGGTTCACGTGAAGTGTGGGCTTCTGCTGAATTACTGCAGCCAGAAAGGAAATGGCTGCACCAGCTCCTGCTGCCTTCTGCACCCAGCAGCGGCAGGAGTCCCTGATCTCCGCAGGGCCCAAGCCCAGCCTGCAGCTCTCCCAAGCCAGCAGGTCCTGCAGAGACTTGGCTCTTGATGCCTTCCTCAAAACACTGCTGTAAAATTTGCAAAGGTCTGTTTTTACAGGCTAAAACTACTCTTGGCTCAATTACAGACTTTTGCCCTGAGGTGTAACAGCAGAAGGGGATGAAATTAAAACTCGACTGAAACAATAGGCACTCTTTGTCAAGGCTGAGGGATACAGGCACAGTATGTGCTGGAGCTGAATAAGGAGATGAAAACACAAAGCCCCACTGAGAGCACTGGCACGAGGAGTTGGCACACAGAAGTAACGCATAAGGCAAATATACAGCTGATCCGAAGTGTTTTGGCTGAAGCATGCATCAAAAGCTACCAAAATGGCTAAGAATCAATATCTCATTTACATGATAAAAGGCTGTCATTTTACCAAATCATTTGTTAAAAAAAAAGAAGATGAAACTGTTCGATAACAAATGGCAATACATTAGAATAGACACCAATGGAAAGTGGGTTACCCACATTTTCTGCCTTAAGAGGTGCAGGGGCCTTGCAGTAATAGGTCAAAAATCGAGCCACTTCCTCCCGTAAACTGAGAAAGACACAAAAGCAAATATTGATTCAGCTTATTCTCCAAGAGGCTGGGCTTCCCCAGGTCCACATCTCAGGAAAATAAGGCCAGGGCACAGTAAAGGCTGGTGAAAATAGCTAGAAAACAGGATAGCTCAGGCCCATGCCACAAACATGACTTTTACACACAGCAAAGGTGTCATGGATAATATCTATAATGGTGCATACATTTCTGATGAGCTTTAATCAAGGCACAGAGAGAAAAATCAAAGTCCCCAAGTTTTCACTATGTTTCAAAGAACTGTTTGGAGTTACCTAATTTGTTAATGTATACAGTGCTTTTAAAACTGTGCTTGCTTTAGAAAAATTGCATGTTCTCTCACATAAAAGGATTTTTAACTGGATGAACTGGTAGGGCAGCTAATTTACAGTTTTTTAAAGAAAAAGATGATTAAACGACCTAGAAAAGTTTTAACTAGTGAGTGTAGCAGAAGCGGTTTGTATTCATCCATTCTGCTTATCAGACAGGTAGTCAAAAAGGGAAGCATTATAGAAAAGACTTACAACATATGGCCCTTCCAGTCGGGATACTGAAGCAGCGGAGGCTCCATCAGGTTCATATCGGTCTGTGTCAGCTGGGAGCAACGAGAAGAACCATTAAAAGCACAGTCAGTGATAGCAGAAACATGGAGATAGACGGGATCCATGTACAGGCACATACCTGCATAGACACCCACACACGTGCAACTTCAACAGTTGTAAAACTGGATTGAGAAAGCCATTGACCATCAAAATTAATGCAGCTTGGAGAAGCAAGGACCAGCAAACTGATCAGTGATAACTTCAGGTTACATGAAGTACGGGCTTCTGCCAAGTTATTGCTGCCAAAACTTTGCTGCGCAGAGATCTACAAAAAGGACGCAGAACAGGCAACACACACGACACCCATAACCAAGATGCCTGCAGAAGACTTTCTCAGCAAATGAAGAAACCCAAAGAGTTCCAAAGAGTGCTTTGCCCAAGCTCTGAGGACGACAGCTTTCAGCTGAGAACTAAGTCCCAATTGTGAAAGCTCAGGTCTAGACTGTCAGAAAGAGATAGAATGGATTTTGAGTGACAGTAAGATACGTATTTTCTTTAATAAACTTTCAATCTATTAAGTTTTTAATGAATTATAGCATTCATTTATGTCTCAGTTCTAAGTTACTGCAGCTCCTTCAGATCTATAATTCTGATAAGTTTTGATAAGTGTTAAAGCATAATGGGAGCTTTCAAAAGACAGGAGAAAAATGAAATCATTTGATTCACAAATGAAATATTCTTGATAATTCTTTGCCAGGGCAGCCACTTTGTTCCTTATTGGGAATTTATTCTGATCTCAGAGGCAGATTCATCTGAACTGTGGAGCCCATTTTAATGTTTATATTTGGATAAAGTACGCACACTGCTTTTATCTAAATATTCTCAAGGTTGTAAATATCAGGGTTTCACATAATCCAGTTCTATGAAGTTGCAAGGGAAAGCACAGCGGTGATACGTGCAGAGAGAAGAGGACATTTTACATAAACAAAAAGGGAATAAACATGTTACGTACAACGCACCTTCCAAATGTTTAATGGCAACCAAATTTATGAGTTAATATTAAAAAAGGTGAGGGTGGGGGGACATGACAAGGAGACGGTAGTGCAAGGAAAGAGGGAAATTCAACATGCAGTGTGAAAGCTTCTCACATAATAACAAAACCGCAGCATTCTGTATTGGTGTTTTAATAACTGGTGCCAAGCTCTGGAGTTTAAAGACACTGTCCTTATCCCATGCAGAATTACAACCTGATATTATAGGATTAAAGTTCCTTTATTCAGCTGTAGATGTTCTTGAAGCCTATGTAGCACAGAACTGTGCCTTCTTAGATCTCTCTCCTAAACTTATCTAGAGAACGCAACACAAAATGTATCAGCACTTGGCCAAAAAGGACTATCCAATAACAAAAAGAAGCCTTGGAGGTAATGCATTAAGGGCTAAGGAAACCAGATGGGCCAACTGAAAGTAAGGCCATCTGAGATCTCACGCCACAAAATACTCTCTTGTTTAAGGGACGAAAGTTGAAGACAGAAATCTGATACATTACTCAGTGGAAACAGTATTTACTGTCCTAAATAGCAAGAAATTATTCGCCTACAATCCCAGCTGGTGCTGCATTCAGTGACTCCATACTGTAAGTCCAGGCTGCGATGACTGCGAAGCTGGCAACGGTATCTTTGTTCAGCCGTTTGCCATAAGCGTGATGGTTCGTCTGACTACAGCTGATGAAGTCCCAACTCATTTTCATAATAAGGATAATTGAGATGCAGCTGACTACCATCTCCCTGTGCACTACTTACTGCAGGCTTGGTGTTAGTTTTAAGGGAAAGGACAGCGAAGGAAGGAAGGTACCACCTACACAGCCTAGAAGGCACCTTTCTCGTGCAGGCAGCAGCTCTGCCTTACCTGTTCTTTTAGCTGGAAGGCGCAGTGGTGGGGTAGCGTCCCCCCGAGTCAGTGGAGAGGCAGGCAGAAATAAAACAAGGAACATTTTGAGGGTGGGAATTGGTGGAACGGGAGCAACCACGAACTTCAAACCGCAGAGGCCGACTGTCCACCCTGAGCCACCTTCCCTCCCCACAGACACCTCCAGCTAGGAGAAAGTGCCACCTGCCCGCCTCGCAGGCTGCACCGGGCAGTGATTTTAATGGGAATCGAGAAACACTCCTCTATGCCACGGTTCTGTTGTTTTCTTTTGACTTTTCTACTTTCTGAGTGGTGCCGCGTGGTTCATGCCTCTCCCTGGCGCAGCTGAACAAGGTGAGCAGGCAGCAGCCAACCCGTTTCGAGAGGTTTCGGGAGCTGCCACTGTCCACTGCTGCCACCCTCGCGCATTTCAGGTGTTCAGAACTGCGTGTCCAACCTGCCTGACTTTATAATGAAGATCCTTGAAATTAAATAGAGTTCAAAACTAATTTCAAAACCTCTGTATTAAATCAACTACTGTCAGCAGGAGAAAATAAAATGTGTCTTATTTTCATTTAGTTTTCTGAGCCAAGTACAGCCCCAAAGGGAAACTCATCGTGAAGAGGAACAGAAAAACACCCTTGTTCCTATCCTCCTGGAAAAATAACATAAATAAAATATATGTACAAATAGCTGGCTTCAAAAGTGACTTCCAACAAATAAAAAATTCATGACGAAAAACTTTACCAGAGAAAGCTGAGCAAAAGCAGTAACTCTAGGAAAGTGCAAGCACTGAGGAGGAAGTACACAGCAAATTCAGTATTTCTTTTTGGAATAGGACTTACCCGCTTAGACATCAGGTCAAAGCAGAGTTTATTCTCACTGGTGCCAAAGTTTATTATACCCTAGAAAAAGAAATAATTTCTTTATAGACACAAAACCCGTGTGCATACATCACCTTAGCTATCACTTCACTAAATTGCCTCCAAAAAGCTCACCAATGACAAGAGAAAACACAGTTCACATAAACTTCACCATATATAACTCGAGACACTTATCTATGTGTTTACATATACATCCCAGGCACTCAGCTTCTTAGGCAATAAACTATCTGTAAATGAATATGTACTAACATTTATACTTCTTTACAGAATATGTTTAACTTAACCTTGAACTCACTCACTGGTATACATCTAACTACAAAAGAAACACTACAACAATTCTGAGAAAAGTGAGGTTTACCCTTCTGCAGCAGTTTTAAGCAAGGTTTTGGATACATTTCTTTATCTAAGAGCATTTGTTTATCAGTCATTACCATTCCACTCCACTGATTTGCTCAGAAACAACATGTAGTCACGAAAAGTGGTGAAGACACTAAATTCTCTCCTCTGGAGAGATGACACTACAGTTCCAGGTTTAGGATTTGGCCCTGTTTATTTAGTTCTGCATTGGATCTGCAAGAGTTCAAATCTACTAGCACATTTTCATTACTGGAAGAGGTTGGGTAAATACACTTTTAAAAATTGCAAAAAGAAATCTAAGCAACTGTACATTTACACTGTTAGTAAAGTACAAGTCTGATTTCAGGTACTTGTTTAAAAAGCTACCTCCTACATAGACAACAGTTGGTCAAAGAGGCAGTTTGTGCTTCATAATGCACTTCATATCAAACATTTAATTGTGTTTTTCTATCTTAAAAACTTAGTTTTCACCTCCCAACACAGTGTGACCAAAGTTAGGGCTAATAATAAAACATTTTTAAAGTTTCAAATAGTTCAGTATCTGAATGCGGGATCCATTTAAAAGCAATCCACACATAAGTCATTATTCATATTTACTATACTTGTTACTCAGTAATAATTTGCCATGAAGCATTAACACTCTGCCTTTGTGCCACAAGGGGGGTATGATGAGCTACTTAAAACTGAGCAGCCGAGCGTAAACAGGCAGAAAAAGTGCCGAGTGTTAGTTAAAAGTTTCAAAAAACATGCCTACTACTTAGTTGTGGTATCTCCTGCACCCATCACCTGCAACAACCAGACATAATCAGATAATCAGAGATAGTCTTCAGTGGGAACAGAGATGATGAGGCCAAAGGAGGAACAGGAGGTCTGTTCCTGCAGATTTCTTACATCTTTCAAGGTCTACTGCCGCCACTATTTCCCCGACAGGGAACTCAGAGTGTGCCAACCTGAGCTGAACATGGTGTTCATCTTTGATATATACATGATCTGCAAAGCTACTTTTTATTTCTCTTCCTTAAACAAACAGCTTGACCCATCATGTATTAGTGAGATAAAAGAACAAACACACTTTTAGCATATCTGTCAGCAAACCTCTGAGAAAGTTTTATTCCTAGCAAGAAAGCCACGAAAACACTTTGAGGTTCTCACTCACGTTGGGGTTCTTGTCTTCATCATACTTGTCGGCATGATAAGCTTTGTACCCTTCCTCAGTGGAGCCACGAAAAATGTTGGCAAGTTTGCCGCGAGCAGAGGGGTAGGGGCTTCTCGGGAAGTCGCCGGGGTTCCAGAAGCCGTGCACATCGACCCGCCGAGCCCTCATCTCTTGCAGGCTGCCCCCTCCTCCTCCCATTCCCGCAATTTCAGACAGTGCCTGGCTGAAGTCCAAGCCCCGAGGCATCGTGACGGAGGAGGAGGAGCCGCTATGGCTCTGCTTGAGGATGCTGAGCATCTGAGCAAAGACGTTGAACATGCGAAACTCGTGCTCCCGCTCCAGTTCAAAACGGCGCTGCTCCAGCTGCATCCGACGCTCCTCCACATCCAAATCTCGCTGAAATCGGCGTTCCTCCATCTGCAAAAAGCGCTCTTCCATGGCCCGCTGAGATGTCAGGGTCTTCAGCAAGAGATCGTCGAGAGGGTCCTTCATGCGCTGGCCTTTACGCTTTTTTCTCAGCCGATGCAAGGCGGAGAAGCCAGGCCGGGGAACCACATTCTGGATCCGTGATGAGTTTGCCATGCTGGGCTCACTGAAACCTGTGAATACGTAAAAGCAAGGAAGAAAAATAAAACACAGCAAGTAAAGCGGCGTGGCCGTGCTTTGCTGCCATCCCCTGTCCTTCCTATGAAACACCCTTTGATTAACAGTAGGGTTTTACAGGAAAACCGAAGTAAAACCTGTCAGGTACAGCCTGAAGTTTGCGAGTCTTTTGGGAGTTTGTTTTTAACTTCCCACATTGGGCACCCACGATGCTGCCAGCCCCAGCCCCACACTCGGCCTCCGAATCAACCTGTGTGATCGTCAGTTCCCTCCATCGGACTAACTACGCAATCACCATGGCGAAGAGGACGTAGCATTTCTTCCTGTCCTCAGACATTAACCTCACACCCGTTACCGTCTCTCTTCTTCCCCATCACGCCACGCTCTTCCATCAGCCTGTCCTAGACCGGTTTGAAATCCCCAGGATTTCCAGACTGCACCCTTCCTGGCAGCCAAGCAACGGCCGGCTGCACGTTCAGCGCAGGAGCTTCATCTCCTGTAAACAGATACTCCATTTCCACCAGTGACTTTCAAAAACATCTTCTTTCCAAGTCCTAATGGATAGCTTAGAAAGCCAGGCAATTATTATTCCCAAGTACTTTCCACCGCTGAGTGTCCTAAAAAGATTACATCTGGAAAATATTTTAAAAAAATGCAAGAAAAGTTTCACCTGCAGGTTTACAGTGTAGCCATGGCAGAAGAGGGTCTCCTGATACAATTCAGCCTGAGGACAGCAGACAGCCCTGGTGACGTTAAAATGGTACCAAAAAGCATGCAAATTTTTTTTTTTAATAAGCTAAGTACTGTCAGCATTATATGCAGCAATCTAGCACAAATGCCCAGCCCAGATTACAGCAGGCACGCCAGCCCTTTGGGTTTCGTACACAATATTTGGCCCAGTGCAGTAATTTCACATTTTATTTACCTGCAGCAAGATACGTTTCGGGAATGGTCAGAACACCATGACTGCAGGTACCAGCCTTCTACCTTAAAGCTTTTTGGGACACGGAAAAATAAGGATCCAAACATCAGTGCAAAAAACCAGGTGTCTATCTTGCCACCAGAAAAACAAAAAAATCTCTCTTTCTGGGAAACCGGGCAGAAACCTTATGCTGGGATGTAAAAGGCTATCCCTACCTGAAGGTGAAACACTGGTTTCAATGGGAATCTCCACCCTGGAGATGGGAGAGTCATTCTGGGCCCTCTCCAAGAAGGCTCTCTCCATCTCATGCTCTTCAGGGGAGCCCTGCTGGTAAGACATGGATGGTGGGGGCTCTGGGGTCAAGCAGTGCTCATCAGAGTTCACCTCCTCACATTTGATCTCCATCAGTTCGGGGTGCTGGGAGTGTCCAAAGGGCAGGGCCGAGGCGGCAAACTGGTGATGGTGGTAGCTCTCCACCATGCTGCCCTGCAGCACCTGCTGAGCCATCACGCTGCCGCCCAGCGGCCCGTAGGCCAGGGCGGGCCGGCTGGTCAGCACCCGGTCCATCACCTCGTAGAACTTCCAGGTCCGGCCGCCCCGCGGGGCCTTGCTGTTGTCCTTGATCCGCCGGTACTCCAGCTTCATCTTCTTGATCTTCTCCCGGCACTGGTCGCCCGTCCGGTGGATGCCCTTCTCCCGCAGCACCTCGGCGATGCGGTTGAAGACGTGCTGGTTGCGCAGGCAGCTCTCCAGCTCCAGCTGCACCGACTCGCC